GTGAGGAGGACCATACACTCAATTATGACAAGCAAAACTACTTCTCTAATGACCAACATTTTCAGGTCGTTCTCAAGACATCTTTATTTAGAGGACCTACAGTTCAGAGGCACTACTTCTGCTCACTGAACAGAAGGTCCCATCAAGGTTCCTTAGACTGAGCACCTAGAAACTGAAATAGTCAAAAACGACAGATCCGTTCCAATTTCTTTTTAGGTAAGACACAGAGAGAAGATTTGTGAAAGCAGAAAGGAGCTAGAAGGGGCATTTAAAAATACCTTCAAAAGAGTAGGAATAAGGTACATTAAATAAAGAAAATTTGCAATTCTGATTTTTTGAAGTTCAAGAACAATCACCATCCCTGTGAAACCTTCCAAAGCTGATTATCAGCTCTGACATACCCAGACTCCTCTGGATTCTTCTATGCCCAAGTTATTACATATTTAGAGCATGTTTCCAAGGCAGCATTTGTGAAAGCACATGCTGTTAGCATGCCTGAACCACACAGCTCCTGTGCAAATCAGTGACATGTCTGCTTTGGCACAGGCACTTGGCAGAATTCAGGAGAGCTCAACAGTATTATAAAAGCTTAATCTGAGCCAAAGGCAAATGTCCTACTTAATCTGAAAGCAGGAACAAAGACAGGCAGCCAAACAACTTTATATAGATCTGCAGGAAAAAAGCCCTTAGGGGAAAGTAAGTTATTGCTCTTCTCAGTGGTAAGAGGCTTTTTCTGCCTGTCCACCTCTATCTATCCTTTCAGCTGCTCACTCTGCCCTACCCCATCAGATGGTTCCCACCCTCATAGAGTGCTAGCTCCCAGCTTATTTAATTTTTAGTTTTACAACAGGCAAAAGTGGAAGAAACGGCTCTTACCTGCACAGAAAAGAGAGGGCATTCTGGTGCACTCTCCTAGCCAAGTAGGATTTTGGGGCTCACCAGAGATGCTATGTAATGAAACAGTTTTACACCAAAACATTTATCATGATAGCAGGACTGGGGTGCAACTCGGCTGCCCCTGTCACCAGGATGCAACAGACATCCTGAGCAGTTACTCCAGAGCCACAAGCTGAGTAGATGGTCTATTGAATGACATGACAGAAAGACAAAATAGTTTTAGTTTACTACATGTATAAAAACCCCTAAAGGGGCACAGGGCTTTACAAACTGAAACAAACATAGGTTTTCCAAGGCAAAGTATAATGAGATCGCACCACGAAAGTGGGACTTGACATTAGTGTTTTGACACTACAGCCATGCAACAATGAACTGCTTGCTTATGGTTACTGAACACATTGGTTGCTCTGTCGAATTGAAGCAGACAGGGACTATGTTCAATATGCTTTAAAAGATGCTTAATGCTCACAGTTTCTGCTGCTATATCTGTATCCACTGTATGATTGTTATGAATGTTACATGCAACCACTGCACAGTTTTGAAAGCTATTTTTAAATGTCTGAACACACACAAAGCACCTGAAAACAGCGTCTGCTGACATAAAATACTCTTCTGCTACAAAAAGAAAACTATCACTTTAATTTTAATCAAACTTTGTTTTCAGGAGGAAAAAAGCCTCATCTTAACCTTAAGAGTACTTCTTAAGGTTAAGAGTATTTCTTAAGGTTATTTCCAAGTTTTATTTGGCTTTTTCTCTATCTGAAGTGGTAATTAGTACCTCCACAACTACTATCAAGTTGTTCTTATGAAGGATTGAGTAACTTGTTCCTTATCACACATAAAAATCTTCAGGTGGAAATTGCAAAGGCAGGAACAAGGCCAGTATCATCAGCTGCTATTTTACCAGAGAAAGGTTGGGAGGAAGCATTTTCTGGCCCATTGTTTATCAAAGTTACTTTTCTTTTTACCTTTATTTCTGTTGGATGAGCCCATAAATGATGGGAGAATGAGGTTAAATGGCACAGAGAAAAAAACAGTGACCTGAAGAAGTGGTGCACCTCAAAGAACTGAGAAGTGGCTAAAAGCAAGAGAACTCAGAGCCATCAGTGGCAGCTCTGCTAAAGCAAAACAAACCATTACAAGCATTGTATCAAAAAGACTAGCAAGTGTGTGATTTTTCTTTACCCTCAGACCTGAACAGCTGATGGAGGCACACCTATTCCTCTGTTAACATCCCTGTATTCCTTTTGCCATCTAGAAAACTTATCTTCACACCTATATAGTCTGAAGTATCATCTAGTGATACTGTTTTAGCTTACTGCCCTTGTTTCTCTTATACTGTGTCTATCATTATACCAACACAAATCTTCCAAGTGCTCTCACTCATAAGGTCTTTCAAATGAGATTGAACATGGACTTTGTTTAAAAGGTCATCTTTAAAATGATACACAATAAATCTAACCCTGTTAAAAATCTAATTTAACAGCACTCTTTGCTCATCCCCACATTTCATCTCCATTGAATATTAAACAGCACAAATCAAAGGATGGGGCTTGCTGACTGCTTCAGACTAGCAACATTCCCTTTCACAACCATGGCATTAAAGCCTGATCTAGTGGCATTTCTATAATTAATGAGGCTAACCCAAAGACATGCTCCACGAGTACTTCATCATTTCCTTCTGAACCCCAAATCTGAGCTATCATTTCCTTCCTAACATTAATTCCTCATTTATGTTCTTCCCCTGCATTTGTACAGCTACTGAGGAGGGAAATAATCTTTCTTCCCATCGTAAATCATGCAGACATGCTTATCAAGTCCAAACAGAGACTCAGGATCATTTAGGAGGATGAAAAGCTAAAAATAATGTTTAAATGTCAGAAGCCCATAGATATTGCAAAGGTTTCTCAATTTAAATTAATCACATATATTTACGATAATGTAAAATTTAGAAATAAAAGGTCCCATATATCTTAGCAATTTCTAAAGACTGAATTTTATAGTCATTTGGCCATCCAACAACACCAAATGTCAACCAATTGATCATTAGCATGACTCCAGTCAATGGGGCTACTGCCTTGGAAAATCTGAGGAGGCATCTGCCCGCAGTGCTGTTCAACAGGCTGCTCCATCCAAGTCCCTTAACACCTTTCCCACACCACCACCTTGCTTTCTCCTCTCTCTCTTCCTCCTCTGCATCCTTTCCGTCTTTAGGCTGTAAACCTCATGCTGCTGTGTGGTCTTTGTTCTCTGCTAATGTCTGTTTTCTGTCGCAAAGCATACTTGGATGCCCCCTGTCCCCAGTGGCCTGTCTTCCTTGCACATCCAAGTCCACAAGCTGCCACCTTCCCAGTTTTCTTAGTCTCTCCCTTTGCCTCCTCTCAGGATAACCGTTTTCTCCTCAGATTCAGGAAGGCAAGTCAGATACTGTCCCCAAAGGCTACCCTGCTCAAACAGTCCATCCCTCCCTAAAACTCCCCTGGAAAAGCAAAGAGTCTTTTGCCTTGTCCCCCTCCAATTCAAATGCTGCCTTGTGCCCCGTCACAAGGATGGAACCTGGGGACCCTGGGCACAGCGTTGTCTGTTCCTGCTGCCCGCTCGATCACCCCTACCAGGGAGCAGCTTGATTCCTGTTGTCCACCCTGGGATGGGTTGGGATGGGAAGGACACAGCTGAGCAAGACCCCGTATCCCAAAGGTATCACATTTTGTGCAGTCACAGACCTGCCAGGATTACTGTCTCCAAGTAATTTCTTCTAGGACACTGGCAGTACTCCTTGAAACAAGGAAACCAGACTGCCAGGTTGCTCCCCTCTTGGCATGCAGAGAGAAGAGCATTTCCCCTACTATGGAGCTGCTGCTGAGCCCAGGCAGCTCCAGACTCACTGAAGCCTGAGCAGGAGCAGGCACCTAGCTCTTCTCATTTGCCTGGGGCTGGAAAACGGGCCAAAGCAGGGAAAATGGGGTTACCTCCCACAGGAAAACAAGGAAGCTTGGAGGCCTGTCCCTGCGCCACTCAGTGATTGCACATCTGCCATCTCAGCACACAGAAGTGAACTCCTCTCATGCTGAAGATTGTGTCTTTTCTCATCTCCAGCTGATGTGACAACCACATTTGCTGCAAGTACTGGCTCCTGTCACCCCACCATGCTTCAAAGGCTGCAGCAGGATCTGTGCTGGGGCAAGCAGCATGGAATGAGAGAGGCTGAAGCAGAGATTTACCTCACTCCCCCTTCTAAGCATGGGATCCAGGGGGATGGGTATCATACAGCAGTATAACGTGCTAATAGTTAGAAGCAGATGCTTATTTTTCACATCCTCCAAAGGACAAGAAACAAACTACAAAATGAAATGTGTAAATAAGCAAATAGCAAACTAAAAGATGTGGCTCCAGTTTATGCAAAACAAATATCCAGAAACAGCTCAGTACTAGCACACTACAGTATAGGACAACAGTCCTTTCTCTGTTGAGAGAATGGCTATTTACTGCTTAGATATTGTCATAAATGCAGACTTGTAAAACTGCCATGAAAATTTACATGCACAAGCACACCACATTCTTTCCCAACTTTGTAAGAACCATAAAGAAGTAGAAATCTAGTCTAACTTTCAATGAAAAAAAAACCCTACACATCCCTGGGAGATGTAAACTTTTTCTTATCTTCTGTAAATGCAGATAACTTTGTAAATACACGGAAGAAGTAAATAACTTTGTAAAATAACACAGCTGCCCCAAAGGCCAAGTCTAAGGAACAATGTATTAGTTCAAGGACACTAAAACCGAAACAAAACCCACAGGAAAATACTTTTAGAAAGAACAGACAGCAAATGCTTTGTGTGCGCAAAACAGGCCTCTCCCTCCCCCCTAAACTGCTGAAGTCCACTCATAGCCTAGCAGGGAAGGAAGAGAACTCATCATAGGAAAGTAAGGGACTGCCAAGACTGAGGACTGATGACACCTTCTGCCCCATCCCAGAGAACCCATGACAAAACCATGCTGTTAATGCAGGCAGAATGCTCTGTGATTCTCCATACTGTTCCCCCCAAGGAAAAACAACTTAATATAGAAAATTTGGCAGGGAACAAAGCTTTATTTAAAAAAAAAAAAAACTTAATCCAACCAGAAGTTATTGTCATGAATTTCCATACATGTGTGCCTTCTTGTTTCAGGTTATTTAGTTTTTTTTTCCCTAATAATTGCCATTTTGTTTCAGGAACCTAGTGCTGTGGAAATCGCAGTGATGGTTCACAGCAAGGCTTGCTGTGCAGCACAGCTGGGAATGTGAGTTTCCTCTGTTGGTAAAGTCTTCAGCATTTATCTGTGACACTGAAGGGGTAAAATCAAATAAAACAGCATCAAAGTCAACCTCCATGTACCGACTTCTCATGCAGAGGATCAGCAAGCTGCTTTGCCTTACCACATGCTGTGCACTATGGCTATCAGGACCTCAGCTGCTTTCCTCAAGGATCTTCCTCTCTCTGAGTGCTGAGACTGCCCATCCTTGCAAACTGCAGACCAGCCTCCAAAACAAGACACAAACGATACATGAATCTGTCATGGGAGGCTTAACTGACGCCAATGGAAAAGGTCCAGCAGAAATTGGCCACCAGTATTATGGTCCCATCTGAGGCAGACTGCTACATGAGGTCTGATTCAAAGCAAAACTCAATTCAAAGCCAGGCCTTTGCAGAAAACTTCTGGAGGAGCCTACACCAATAACCCTTCAAAGCCAGAGAGAAAGCTCTCAGTTGAAGGAGATCAATAATACTACAGGACCTGCCCTGTGGGCAAAGACAAGGAAAGCAGCTGCTAAAAACATCTGTGGAATATCCAACAACCCCCTGCTGTCATGCACTGGTACTTTATCTGTCATGCAGGCTGTCAGCAAAAAAGCTCAGAAAGTATTTTGTGCACACTTAAATCCAACAGTGAGCTGAGCTCGGCAAAGTATTTGCTTCATCTGGCGGCAGAAGCCTCACAGCCTGACTGAATAATCAGTAAGCTTTGGCTACTCAGTAGGCACTCAAAAGGCATCAGCCAACTAGGAACAGAATTCTACGCTGAAACGAATAATGTCAAAAGCAACTTAAACATCAATAAATGTCACCTTTGTTTGTCCTTTACCTGTTACATGATGTGATTTTCCTTTCAAAAACAGCAAGGAAGGAACCACTTCATGCAGCAAGAGCCTCTTTTACCCCCTCACGCAAGGAAGTGTTCTACATTACCCCTGTGCCGCTGGAACGTTAAAAGCTTTCCCATTTGCAAGTGCTGCTCCGCACGCCGCTCTATACAGAACAGCCACAGGAGCCGATGCTTTCAAAGGCGATGAACTCCTGTAGTTCACACCGGCTTCAGCATTCCTATCGATCAACAGATGTCTGACTCGAGGGCAACAGCAGCCTGAACAAGCTTTTAATGTTGTTTTTCCCCCTTTAGAATCAAACAGGTAGGAAAAGACCTCTAAGCTCATCGAGTCCAACCCTTCCCCAGCACTGCCAAGGCCACCACTAACCCACGTCACTGAGGACCTCATCTACACGGTGCATAAACACTTTCCGGGACTGGGTAGCCTGCTCCTTTATCAACCAACACTTGTTACAGCTATACCGGTACCACCTCCTCTTTATTCCCCGCTACAAGGCTCCCGGACCGTACGGCTACAAGCGCTCTGAAAAGCGCATCCACCGCCAAACGTCCCCAGCCGCGCCGCCCAGACACAGGACAGCCGGCTCCAACAGCACAGCCCCACCGCACCCCCGCATGGCCTTAACCCCTCGGAGCCGGTGATGCGACCAAGGGCAGGGAAGCAATCCCAGGAACCGGAAAGAACAAAAAACCCCACAAACAAGCACCGCTTGATCAGAAATCCGCCTTTTTCTCCTCAAAACAGCCCCGATCCGCCTCCAGCAGCGCGGGCCGCCGGGAAAAGGCGCGGCTACGCGCACGTCGGGCGTCGTGGCGTCACGGCGCTCCGCCGTTCGTGCGACGTGGCCTTGGCCTGGCAGCGGTAAGGGCGGTGGGGATGGCACCGGGACGGGTTGTGAGCCCCCTGCTTCCATCCAGCCCTGTCCCGGGGGGCTGAGGCTGTCACGGTGCGGGGGGGCTGGTGTAGATGGCCCGGCCGCGGTGCTGGGGAGGGGAGACGTGAGAGAGCCCGATCGAAGGGACCCGGGGGCAGCCGGTCTGTCTGGTGTCCTGCTCGGGGTGGGCAAGGCCGGCAGATGCTCGCTTTAAGGATGGGGTTGGACCGCGGTACTGCCCTCGCTGCTCACCAGCCCGCCGGCAGCAGGTTTTGGCCTGGGGGGGTTCTTGAGGCGGGTGGCCGTTTTCCATTTAGACGCCTGCCGTATGTTCTCAGAGGCGCAGTGTAGGGCGTAAGCTGAAAGCAAACTGGGATGGAGCTGTTGCCTCTTCAGTGCCGAAAAGCATCATTTTTCGTGATTTTTAAAGGCAATAGTAGGCCCTCGTGTTGATACAGTGTATTTTCGGCAAAATGGAAGTACCTTTTAATGCCTGGTTAGGTTGCAGTACGACATTTTAAATTACCTTACAGATTTAATTGGTAACTGCTTTTTCTATTCCTGTAACTAAAAAATCCTCCTTTCATGGCTCCACCAATTAAATCCATTCATCTTGGCAGGTAATCATGGATCAGGTAATGCAATTCGTGGAACCCAGCCGTCAGTTTGTAAAAGACTCCATACGACTTGTTAAAAGATGCACCAAGCCTGACAGGAAAGGTAAAGCACACAATAAACCGGAACGCAATCCTTATTTCACTTTAAATCTTATTATGTATCTTTCCAAATGTCACTTCTGTTGATTCATTTGTTGTGAATGTTTCTCAGGATGAGATTTAAACTTGAGCAGTTGTCCAAAAGTTAACAAGTTTGTGGTTCTGGATATAATAAGCTTGATTGTGTTCTTTTCTGGTGTGTACGAAGGTGCGTGAGCAGTACTAAATCTCATTGTATGAAATAGGCCAAGTAGCTGAAATAAGCCATTTTGAGACAGGCAAGTGGTAATTCTTATGTATTAGGTAAACTGATCTGGGAAGAAGGTGGTGTGCACTTTAACAAGTTTGACTGCATTCAACTTGGGGGAAATTGTGGAGAAAACTGCTTGTTAAATAAGCAAACACTTCATTTTAGGAGCCTGAAAAGGAACTAGGGTTACTTTCTGCAGTTGTCCATTCAGCCCTTCACAGTTGTCAGTGACTGCCTGACTGGGACAGGAAGAACTTTGTTGCTGGAAGTACAGCAGAGAAAGTTTTGGGACTTTCTCAAAGGCTTCACAGAACCTGTAACTAGAATTAGCTGTAGCAGGTTGTCCCTAGTGGTAGTAGTTAAGGTGCTTTATTCACATGACATCTTTTGAGATCAGTGAGGAACTTTGTTCACTGTCAGACTGGCAGGGTGGGTTGTGAGGGGCTGTTGACCTTAGTCCACTTCATGGCTGCTGCCTTAAAGTAACTGAGAATATCACTTAAGTACTCAGTTTTTGTGAGGACATAAGATGCTTTCTTCCTGTGGCAGGCATAAATCAGCTTTTCCATGTTTGATGCTGTATTGAGGATTATTTGCAGAGATACAAAGGGAAGATAATGGAATAAATGTGCCATGAATTGTTACAGACTGTGGGTATTCCTGATTCTGCATATTACTGAATGAATGCTGAGATTGGCCATGCTTCACCAAAAGCATGCTTCACCAAAGCAGCACCTTCCCCCTTAAAACTCCTCTATCTAATGAAAAAGTGGATTTGTTTCTCAGTGTCATACAGTTTGACCTGCTTCCTCTGTCACATTACTGTTTGATAAAGAGATCTCTCTCCTTTGGTCACTGTAGTGCACATCTCCTCCAGTGTGCCACACACAAGGTGTCCTATACTAAAGTTTTTGTTTTTTTTTTTTGCAGAGTTCCAGAAGATTGCCATGGCAACAGCAATAGGCTTTGCGATAATGGGATTTATTGGTTTCTTTGTCAAACTGATCCACATCCCCATCAACAATATCATTGTGTAAGTAAATATGGTCGTACTTACATATTTCAGTTTCACTACATTTTGCATTCATTTTTACCTGTTCAGTTTTAAACACAGGATGCTCGTGAGCCCTGCAGGATCCATGTTACTTTAGTATATGTGCATTTCACATGTTAGTGTAATATGGTGGGTATTACTTGATTCCAAGGACTGGATCAGGAAGTCGGTTCTTAATGTAGGATGCTGCAAAATATTAATAGAATCATAGATACCCAGGTTGGAGGGACCTGAAGGATCATCTGATCCAACCTTTCTTGTCAAAGCATGACCTAGACTAGATGTCCTGGCACCCTGTCCAGCCCAGTCTTAAAAGTGTCCAGCGCTGGGGAATCTACCAGTTCCCTGGAGAGATTATTCCAATGGCTGTTATCATAGTGAAAAATTTTCCTTTTGTATCCAGCCGGAATGTCTCCAGGAGTAACTTGTGCCCACCATTCCTCCTCTTTTCCACATGATTCCTTGTAAAAAGGGAGTCTCCATCTTCTTTTTAGCCACCTTTGAAATACTGGAACACGGTGGTAAGGTCTCCCCTGAGCCTTCTTTACTCAAGGCTGAACAAACCCAGTTCCCTCAGCCTTCCTCAGCTTCTGAGTCCTCTCATTACTGAGTGCTATATATGTTTAAAGCCTGGTTTTACATGTAACTGCATTTTGTGAAATACCTTTTGGAATGAACGTTGCAGCATGAAAAAATTAACCCTCAAGTTGACCAGAAGCTGTGGTACTGACATATTAACCCTGCCAATTATCATAGAATGGTTTGGGTTGGAAAGAACCTTAAGATCATCTAGTTCCACCCCCTGCCATGGGCAGGAATGCCTCACACTAAAATCTTCATTCTCCAGAGCTGATGTCATCCCATTTCTAGCACTGGAACAGGTTAAGTACTATTCTGTGACTTGTGGCTTGCTTTATACCTTTAAGAGTGGTCCTGTAGGCGAGAGGAAGTGTCTGAAAATAAGAGATAAGCTATAACTGTAGTAATGTTTGTCCTAAACAGGGCAGTGGTGGGAGGATGAATCAGACTTCAGGTGGATTACTGGATCACACTTGATTAGTTGAAATTGATTACTTTGTTCTCTCAACAGAGGCGGCTGAATATTTACCATGAAGAACAAGATGTTGTGACACTTGCTGCAAAGATTTCACAGCTTTAACTTGTTTTCTATTAAACCAGTTCAGTTTGGGTTTTCAAACATTCTTGTCATGCCTCTTTTTGAAGTCTGTGGGATCATAACTGTATACATTACATGCTTTTTTTTGCAGTACTACTGTTTGTGTTTCTTTGGTTTGATGGTTTTACTACTTTTTTAAACTGTACTAGAATAACAGGGGTAGGAAGGAATCTTGGGACATCTCTAGTCCAACCGCCCCCTCAAATCTGGGTCAGCGTTGCATTGTGACAAGGTTGCTTAAGGTTTTGTCCAGTCAAGTACTGAAAACCTCCAAGGGTGACAAACTTTTATCAGAAGCTGTTCCAATGCTTAATTTACTGCTTACTAAACGGCATTGTTACAGCAAAAGTAGACAGGAAGAAAACAGCGTTACTGTACCCTCTCAAGTGGTGATTTTTAAGTCTGTTAACTGGAATTCTAGTTTCTGGAATCACCATGATAACCCATAATAACTTTCTGCATTTGGAAGTCCTGTTAGGTTATGTTATATACTTGACACGGGGAAAATATTCCATCAAATAAAGAACTTGTGTAATTCAGACAGCTAAACTTAGGTGGTTACTAAGATGTACAGTTTGAGGTTAGGTTAGTTGCCAGAGATACTAAACAGTCCTTAAGCAAATGAACTTGCTTACAGTATTGGGTAGGCTGTACACCCCTTTTTGGATAATGGTTCTGTAAGACAACTGCACATAAAATTATAAAGAGATCTGCATTTGTTGACCTGGAAGTTTCTGTTATAAAATGATTGAATATTTTGATTTTGAAAACTTAAGTGTGCAAAACCTTTGGTAGATGCAATGCTCTTCCTCCTGAGATTGAAGAAAGCTTACTGTAAGCATTTGGTATTTGCAAAAGTTACAATGCTAGTTCTATTACAGACTTTAAACGCACTTAATACTTGGAAATCTGATATTGGTATTACAGTAAAAGTGATTTCTTCAGTACACAAAGTTGCTTTGTCAGTAGAAAGTTCAGTTATTGATCTCCTTAAAAAATCATCACCAGCACCTACGTATGTTACAAATCAGGACAGAGAAATGAGATTAACTAACTTTAGTGCTATCACCTTTTAATATAGTTATACTGTGTGCACTGTGTACTGTATTTCCTTTTGGCAGAAGGGGAAAAAGCCAGCAATGTAATAAAATACTTTGTAAAAGAGTCTGAACTAACCTGATAAGCAGCAGCAGTGCCTTTACATCCACTTCTGTTTGTGACTATTTTTGAGTAGCAACTTGTGCCTTCTGATTAAGTAGTGTTAGGTGCCAGAATGAAGTATTCAGTTGTTGCTACTAATGTTGATTGGATCTCAAATGACTTTTATTTCAGATCTCTTTTTCATTCAGTACATAAAAATCAGTGCCTGCTTTTATCTTTTGGCACAGCTTTACTGTCTTAATTCAGTGAAATTCTGTAGTAATTTGAGTTGAATCATATCAGAAAAGGTAGCTATAGCTGATCCTGTATTTTGATAGACATTGTCCACAGCAAAGGCTTGTCCGTCTCAATGGTTACAGTCCCGGAGTTGTCATAGGTGTTGGAAGTACTGACGAGCGTTCCAAACTGCAGCATCTGGTTAGCTATGCAAAATAAGGGAGAGAGAGTGAGTGGTACTCTTGAAACAAATGCATTGATAGAGATTTATTGTTGTAAAGGCTGCTGCTCCTGCAAAGAAGGAAAAAGCAGCTGAGTAAATCTAACCCAGATAAACAACATCTAAAATAGCTATGCTAAATATTAATTAGCTTGTATGAGACTATCCAATGACCTGTAGAGGGAATAAATTAATACTTAATCCCCAAATTAGCATTTTGAGTTCACAGCAGATTATTTATTACAGGAGCAGATTGTTGAATGTCCCCCAAAATTTCACATCTGGAAATCTGTATTCCATTAGCATCAGCTGAAGTAACAGTGCTAGATAAGGTATTTACAGTGAAATAAAACAGAAGATCTTACTGCAGTTCCAAACATGGAATTAATTTTAGCCCAGCAGCAAGCCTATAATCTCTTAAAATGAAAACAGTTTTAGAGCAGAGGCCAGTAGTTAATCATATAATCATGCAATGCTTTGGGCTGGAAGGGACCTTAAAGCTCATCCAGTTCTAATATCCCTGCCATGGGCAGGGACACCTTCCACTAGAGCAGGTTGCTCCAAGCCCCGTCCAACCTGGCCTTGAACACTGCCAGGGATGGGGCAGCCACAGCTTCTCTGAGCACCCTGTGTCTCACCACCCTCATAATGAAAAACTTCTTCCTAATACCTACTGTGAATCTCCCCTCTGTCAGTTTAAAGCCATTGCCCCTTGTTCTGTCACTACAGGCCCTATGAAGAAGTCTCTCTGCAGCACTCTTGTAGGCCATTTTTAGTTGGTAATTATTTAACAAGTAGTACTATTCAACAGCTTTTGCTTCAAAGTAAATGAGTTGCATCTTCTGCGTACTTAGTGAGGTAGGTGTCCCTGTGCATTAGTTAGACCCAAACTTGGTCCTGGGTTCGCTCTGACAAATAGCTGATGTCAATTTTAGGAGAGTTTAACCCATGTAACAGTGCAGTTACAATGATAGTTTTGAAATGTCTGTGAAGTTCTAAACAACGATTCTGTCTCAGTTTAGCTGACATGTTTTAAGGGTTACATAGACTTCCTACAAGCTGAGACCAAAGATACAAGCTGCCCCCAAACTTACAAACATATCAACTTCCCTAAAGGCACTTTTAAGACTAGTCAGTTCTGTATCAGTCCTTGCTCATACAGGGGTTCAGAGAAGGAGCCCAGAAACTATTCTTTGTTTTAGTTTGTAAAGCCAAATGATAGGTCTTACTCACTGGTGCCAGAGCTACATTTCCATGGAGGATACAGAGAGCTGTAACTGGGGAGAACTGTTCAGGCCCATCAGCAAGTCTGTGTGGCCTGTCAGAATTGCCAAATCATGCATTAATACTGAAGGAGGAATCTTCTGGCTTTGCTATCATGTTGCCCACTGCAAGTGAAGATCTCCCTGTGATCAAGAGGTGTGCAGAACATCATACTAAGCTCTATTTTGTAATATGCAAAGGAGACAAAGAGGGGCGTATGAACATGGGCTATAGTAAACTTGTCTGCAAGTTTACAACAGCAGCTGTCTCCCCATTGCTGGAAGCTGCACAGGAGGAATTGAACTTGCTAGGTTCTATGGCTTGAAAATGAGAGCCTGACAAAAGGCAGGACACACAATGTGGTTCAGTGTCTCTTCTGCCACATCTCTGCCTGCTGCTGCTTCTTCCTGTCTCACTCTTGTTTTTAGCCTGAAAAGAACTGAAGACTGCAAGCTGTGTTTGGTTAGAATGAGAGACTAACACCTGAGTTCTACTGCTTTAAAATGAGAGTCCTACCATTTGAATCTCTCAGGAGTTTGGAGCATTAACTGCAATGCAGGGCAGAGGTTCAGCAAAAAGGAGAGACACCCCCCCTCCCCGCCCAAAAAGCTAACAACAACAAAGTACTGTACTAACTAGATCGATGAAATAGACCTAAAATAAAGGTGCTAGCTTCTATCAGGATGATTTTGTACACGCAGGAGTGCTGGGCAGGCTCTTAAGACAAATGCTAGGGAGAAGTAAGTTATGTTTGCCTTTGTAAGAGACTGTAGAGGCCAGTGGGGTGATGCCTGGCCAGAAGCTGATGCATTGGACTGAGTTTCCAGAGAACCCAGATCTCACCCTTTGCCAGTAACTTGATAAAGGTGAGGTAACACATGGGCAGAGTTTCTAGTGTAAAATAGTACCAAAATCCTGTGTTACAGCCAAGTTACGAATGTCTTACAAACTAAAGTCAGTTTTAAGTAGGAAAGAAGCTTAAATAGTTTACAGTATTTGTTGACACACAAATTACCCATTTTTGGTTACTATATATTGAAATTTGAAAGTGGGAGTGGGGAGGAAGAGCTTTGTGGATACTCTTCTGTGTAAACCCACTCATTTAGTATCATTTATTGCTTCTTGCTCAAGACTGTCAGAATAATTCTTAATGTTTCATCTTTGCCTATGAAATAATGGCTCTGCAGAAGGCAAGAATTAAGAACAACATGGCAGCTTAATGAAACAAAACTCTAAAGCAGTATTTCTTCATGCATAAAATTAAGTGAAAATGAGAGGCCTGTTTTTTGCTTTAAATAAAAAGTCCTTGCCCACTAGATGGAGCCTTTTATCTTTTTCTATCAGATTCTTCTGTGCAAGAATCACCGTTTGAAATGCTGAAGTGAAAAAATGCAGGACCCATAAAACTACTGCTGATTCACGTGGCTCAAATGGAATAACTCCAAGCACTTGGTTTCACAACCAGCCAACACTTCATAGAATCATGGCATGGTTTGGGTTGGAAAGGACCTTAAGATCATCCAGTTCTAACCCCCCTGCCATGGGGAGGGAAGCCTCACACTAGACCATGTCAGCCTTTCAATTAGTATCACTAAAAATGCAAACTTTCTATTTAATCCATGAACAGAAATTAATGTGAAAAAACAGGTTTAAGCCATTAAAGGAACTAAGAAAATGTACATATCTACTGCTTCTAGGAAAACTTCCCGCTGTATCATGCATTATCACATAAAGTTTACAAGGTCAAAGCCTGGAAGTTTTATCAGTTCATAATCCATTATCAGTTCATAATTGATCCAGTCAAAGTGTATTTACAGATAATGGACTGTTGATGAAATACACAGCATCTTCCAGTGTAGCTATACTCACTCTTTACTCTCCATCCATAAAGTCAGCATGTCTTGGTGGCACTGAGGCCAGGAGGCCCTGCCCTCAAGGAAAGCCATGGGGGTCAAGAGTGGTTACAGGAGAAGGTAACTAAGTTGTAGTTCTATAGCGTAGTTTTGACGTCTGACAACTCTGAACTTGGGAACTAAAAGCAAATGCTGTTCCTGCCTTCTGGAAAATAAAACACAACAACCAACCAACCACCACCATACAAACCAAAGCAACCAACCAGAACTATTATAAGACAGCTTTTTAAGGCATGCTCTATGTTCTT